AAGGAGAAACTAGAATGTTTAGCTAGAAAATTCCACAGCCTGTGAAGAAATATTTCAAAATGGCCATAAAGGAGGTGAAGATGAAAACTATAATCTAACTTTTATAGAGGCTTTATCTTTAATTTAACGATTTGCTAAAGACGTTCTCGGCGTTCAAGCTACTCCACACTGCCGACTTTGCTCCGCACTTTTGGCAGGTCTGGAGTAGCGCACCTGTGGCCACTCAGAAGTGGCCTGAACAGAATACTGGAAGCCCAGCTGGACTCGGACACACTAAGGTTTTGATTTTGAATTTCAGCCTTATTAGAAGATCTAACCTAAGAGTAAGCTAATCACAGGGAGTCTTTTTTAGAACACTTTTTATGCAGATGAAGCTATTTTTTCCAGCATGTAGATTCTTCCAGTTTTTCCAAGGAGTAATTTCCCCAAATTGGCATACCATAGCACGGACAGCTGATACTCCGCAGCTGCTGCCGTGTGGGTGCGGATCTTTCTTTATATATATATATGCATATATATATACACATGTGAGTCTGCCGGGTTGGTATTTTGTTTGATCTTCCTGGAAATGAGCAGTGATGAAAGCTCACATAACTGGTTTTTTGTTTTTCTTTTTTTTTTTTGAAATCTGGGCTGATGAATACATTTACCTAAAAAACTCATTTCATTTTGCTTAGGGGGAAAATGCACTTTTCTTTTGGCAATTCAAAATCCAAGCACTTGATTTGCTGCGTTTTGGAAAACTCCTTTTTTGGCCCTGCCGTGTGCTTAGCCATAACAATTCCATTAAGCAAGAAGGTAAACAAAAGACAAAAAAAAAAAAACTTGCACTGGCTTGCCTCACTTACAAAACACCATCAGAGCTCTCTGCCTGGGTGAGGCCCGCCTGCGATCTCCACAGTGCGCGAGTACACAGAGAAGTACATTCTGTTCAGGTGATAACTGAGCCTCAATCAAGCAGAAACTTTTTGCTTGAAATTAAAAAAAAAAAATTTCTATTAGTGAAATTTCTTTCTTTCTTTCTTTCTTTCTTTTTTTTTTGGAAGCACCCTGTTATCTAAAGAATCTTTGTAAGATTTTTGTAAAATTTTGTTTTACAAGATTTTATTTGAAATTGTTTTTTGCAAGATTGTTATATTTCTGTATGAATGTATTTTTTATTGGAATAACATAAAAGAATTCTTATCAGCATCTTGAGTCGGGTTGTTTTTCAGGGGGGTGGTTCAACAAATTCCTGCTGTGTTAGTCACCCCAGCTTCCTCGGGGAGTGTCCACTGGCAGCCCTGAGAGCCATTTGCCTACCCCGGTCCCTTCCTCCCGACTTCCCACGGCCTGTCCTGGGAGCTGAGTGAATGCCGTCCGCTCTGACGTCGCTGTCCCTGAAATGCATGGAGTTCTCTTCTGCAGAGACACAAAAACAACCACAGGGCTTTGGAGGGAAACACGTGCTGTGTTTATCTTCCTGCCACTCTAGCCAGGGAGTACATTTCGGAGGCATCTGCCCAGGGACACGCTTGCCGGGCTTCCTTCCACACCCCACGCCCCACACGGCCCGATCCAGCTCAGCAGTGAGAGCCAGGCCTTCCGCCCCCCCACCCCACCTGGCCGTGCACACCTGGCCGAGGTGTGTCTGGGAGGGTGGAGATGACAGGGCGGGGACACCAGGCCAGAGAGCCGTTCCCACGGCCTTCCCCAGCCCACTCTTCCTCCACCCCAGCCTTCGTGGCTCACGCAACGCAGGAGGATGGAAAGTAGAAGGTGACATCACGGCCAGATGAATTTATGCCTTTTTTCTAAAGACTAATTGGGATGCCTTAAATGTAGAGGTGGTTTGAAAATAAAATAGGCAGCGTTGTGTCTTAGAACAGCGTTTCTAGCGAGTAGCTTTAGCTGTCAGTCTGCCTTACCTGACTGGCCGGAGCACTGTGAATTGATCCGTCTCGGAGTCCCTTTTCAGATTATACTGAGCCCATCGGTAGTGATAGGGTAAAATCAATGTGTTTCCGTGGAAACGGGCTTCTCAACGTGGTTCTCAGTGTAACAGGATGTTCTCCATTTTAGGTGGCGTAAGTGCTCACTGCTCCCTTCACAGGGAGATCTTCATTTTGCTAAATGAGCAGAATTTACACAGTTTGCTTTTAATTTTGTAACTGCAGAGCGGACGTTTAGATGTGTGCCCGGATTAGGAATTTTAGGTAATTTTCTTTCTGTAACTGGGGTAAAAATATCAGCAACTCGGAAAGAGTTTTGGCGGGGCACAGTGGGAGGAGCAGGTGACATCTTTGCCAGGACTCATGGGTGTGTGGATATTCCGAAGCACATGTCCAGATGACTCATGGCTGGATTGCCCTGACTGTACAGTCTAAATAAAGTCTTGGGAACCATTCTCGGCTACTGTTAAGACTGGACCACTTTGCCATGCAGCGACGATGCCGAACAGCTCAGTTATGTTCAAATGAGACCGGCAGAGAACCACGCCACGCGTGGAATCAGCTGCGAGCCTCAGATATTTATAGAAGTATAAAAAATTTTCGGTCTGCTTAACAAATTTTTTGAAACCTAGCTAAAAGAAAGGAAACGTTCGAGCTCCAGTGAGCTGTGTGCTTTTGGACAATTCACTGAGCCTCAGTTTGCTTATTGCTAAAATTGTCTGGGCCAGCTCACGTGGATCTGGCATTTCCTACAGCACTACAATTCTGTGGTCTGTGAGTACAGGGTGGACTTCAAATTACACACCCACCATCTTCAGAGCACTTGGCTCAGATCTTTCTAGAAAGCTTTCCCTTGTGCTGCAGGGGGAAGTCTTGTTGGAGAAAGTTGCTCTCAAACTGCAAAACAACATACTCAAATTGCCCTTTGTCCTTCTAATTATAGTTAACTTATTCAGGCATTCGCTGCTTTATAGTATACTATTATTTTATTAAAAAAAAAAACTTTAGCAAGTGCTATTGTGGCCATATGTGGACCCGAATTCTCTCAAGCTTTCCCTGTCCCCAATCCCGTCCTGTGTCCAAGTTGACCTCTACGCTCGAAGGACAGTGGAGGCAATTGGAGAAAATGTCTTACTTTTATATTTTCATTGCTATAGAGAAATAACACAGTTTCCATACATAGTTACTTTCTTAGGTATTACTGTCAGCCACCGTGAACTATTTTTAAACAACCATCTTTGGCAAACCGAATTATGTCTGTAGCAAAACATGATGGTGAAAATCATGATATCTACCACCTAGTTCTTGTGCCTTAACCAGGAATTAGGTAGGCGATGAAATGTGTATGTATTTCCCATAGTGGTGCTATGTACAGCAGGTATTATACCCATTTCACAGGTGAGGAAAACTGAGGCTCCCAATGGTTATGCCACTTTCCTGAGGTCACTCAGCTAGGGAGAAGCACACCCAGTATCCTGTCCAGGTCTCCTAGATAACAAAGATCATGTTCTTAATCACCACCCTCCACTGCTTTCTGCCTTGTCCCACCTCTCCTGAGAGGCTGCTGTCAGATCTGTAGGATTTACCTTAAAATGACGTTACTTATGTGAAATGGGGATGGAGCTTTCTCACAGTTCAGAAGCACTAAAGCTGTAAACTGTGCTGCAATCCTGAGAAAAACAAAAGTAACCATTTTGAATTGC